TGACAAGCGGGAGCCGATTTAGGCGGCTTACCCTAGCGGGTATGGCGCTGGATTGGGAGGAAGGAGAGGTGCGGATGGATTTGAGAAGTGCTTTGGTGTACGTGCCGGGGATGGCTTGTCACCCAGCGTCTTTCTTTGTGGCCATGGGTCTGTGTGACGGGGTGACGGCCATCCTGACACCTCGGCTCGGTGCTGCTCGGCACCGGAGGCTGGAGCTGAGGCTCCCCTCACCTTCCCTTCCACCCCTGTTGGAAAGCAAAGCGGAGGGTGTGCCGGGTATTTTTCCTAGCCATCACAGAGAGACAAGGGACCTCAGCCCTTGGCATAGCCGGGGGCAGGCTCAGCACGATCCGGTAGCATCGTACCCTGGTTTGATCGCTGGCTGCCAGTACCTCACTGTTGTTCCTAATTTGCCTTAGGTACCAAATGGATTATGTTCCTTTTAGGCTCCTAACGGTTCTTCCTGAGTCCCTAGGTTTCTGCCTGTTGAGATGTGGCACTGCCAGTATCCTTGCGGATCGGCATCTCTGCTCTCGGTGGCTTTGTCTAGGCCAGGCATTGACTTTGCCCCCTTGGCACCCAGGAGGCTGTTGGCTTTGTCCCGCACCCAGAAGGTTAAATATCAGCATGTCGAGCAGCAGGGAGCCTTCTTGGGAGCACCCTTCAACCCAGAGGTACCACACGGTCCTCGGGCCGCTTGCTGCCGGTGGTGATGCCTTCAAGGAGAGACGGGCTCTGCTTTATCCCGTGCAGGGTCTCTTGTTTGTGTGGACAGTCACTGTAAGTCACCGTTCCCTCTGCGGCTGGTCCATGGGACAGAGCCACCTCGAAGCAGCATGGTCTGTCCTGGCTCAGCACCCACTGCAGCACCTCGTGGTCATTACCCGTGCTTTAGGTTGCTGCTATTTTTCAGTAGTTAGGAGGAAAGTGGTATTGGAAACTCCCTTTCCTTGCTTGAGAGAGCTGCAGCCCCGTCTGACCGACTTGATGTGGAAAAACTGAGTCCTTTGAATGGCATATGTGCCCTCTCTCCTCTCTCACGGAAGTATTTGGAAAACACTGTATCGCTGGCGGCTCTCCACGGGGCAGAGGGCAGCCATAGCACTGCCAGGGCTAAGTAGTGGCTGGCAGGAGTGGTTCAGCGGTGCGCACAGATGGAAAAGCCTCTGTGTTGGAAACGAAGGGGGGGAAATCTTGTTGTCTGTCCCCTGGGGACCATGAGGCACTTGCAGACTGTGGCTGGGAGGTCCTCTGCGTCCCCGAGAGCTGGAAACGTGGCAAGGACCGACGCTTGGCTTCCTCGGAGCCGGTATGGGCCCCTCGACACACGGTGGGGATCGTGAGTCCGTTGTCTTCTCGTTTCGAGTTTAACCCTGTTTCTTGCCAACTGAGTTGTACTTTGAGAAATCTGCCTGCAACCCAGAGATTTGGGGGGTGGGGGGATGAAACCCCTCAGAGAAACAAGGCTCCTCGCAGAGAGGGACCCTCCCTCTGCCGAAAGACCGGCGGGAGAGAGCTCCTGTCCCTGGCTCGGGCAGGCTGGTACCCGC